TCTCTCTTTCTTTCTCGCACACACGCACCATGTGTCCAAGGTACACGCAAAGTTCAATTATTTGGATGATACACACACTCCCCACCTCCCCTCGGTGTCTGAGATAGACACAGAACCCAGGTGTTCCCCTTCCCACCCACGCACACACCAGAAAACACCATCCCCAGGTGTCTGAGGTACACATACAGAACCCGTGTGCCCCCCCCACAGAGAACCCAACACTCTGGGATGGACACACACACCAGGGTGTGCTCATGGTGTGCTCCCTCTCACCAGAGGGCAGCAGGGACAGGCACACAGAACACAAGTGTTCAGGGCTCACATATATATGCATGTATGCACATGTGCACACACACACACACACATCCCCTTTAACCATTCCCGCCCCTCCTGGCTCTACACCCCCCTACAGAAATGACATCCAGTCACCTTCACACACTTGCAATGCAGCAGTGCCTACCCCCTCTCCCCGCCAACACAATCCCCTTCCCACACACCCACATGTGGGCCAGACATGCTTTTAAGGACACACGCCAAGAGATGTTACCTCTCCTATCCAGCACACACAGCTGCACTCACTGTGTGTACACACACACACACACATACACACACACACACACACACACATACCACTCAATGCACTTTCCCATACTCTAGTGCAGTCACTTTCACACACTTGCACGCTCACTCACACTGCCTTGCACTCACGGCAACTTTACACATTTACCCCACTCCATTGGTACACACTTGCCTCAACCTACCTCCCTACACACCTGCACACTCCTCCCCAAGACACTTATATACACTTGCATGCCCCTATGCACTCCCACACCCCCTGCAGAGAAATAGTTGTCCACTGGCCCCCATGGACCCCCATATGCACACTCTCTCTGTGACATGCATGTACACACACACTCACTCTCCCCCTACACACTCAGTCAGACCCTGATGAAATCACATGCACCCCCATACACACACTACCTGGGTACTCTGTTTCACACTCACACACACTCACCACTACACAGTCAGATACTGACCAACACACACACACACACACACACACACACACACACACACACACACAGAGGTCTCACCTGCTCACTCACTCCTACATATGGTCAGACACTGATCAATACACATGCACCCCCCCACATGCACACATAACCTGAGTACTTGGGTACGTACACTATCACATGCTTTCACACTTGCATACACACAGACACTGACCAACACTCACCCTTACGCAGACTTACTCAACCCCATACAGTTACACACTTGCTCACTCATCTCTCCACACCATCAGACATTGACCAAAACACACGCATCCCCATACACACACAGCCTGTGTACTCAACCCCATACATCATCACATCCATGCACATACACACTCACACGCCCCTACACAATATCAGACTAATCAACACATACGCACAATCGGGGTATGTAGCTTCATATACTGTCATACATACTCACATGCACACAGACACTGACCAACACGCACTCATACACAACTTGTGTACTCAACCTCATATACTGTTACACGTATGTACACATGCTCACTCACCGCTACACGCTGTCAGACACTGAGAAAGATGCATGGACCCTGAACATGCGCACAACCTGTGTTCTCAGCCCCTGCATACTCTCCCACTCTCTCTCCCACTTGCACACATTCTCTCTCTTGCACACTCACACAGGCACTCCATACATACTCCACAAAGGATCTACACACTTGCACAGTCGCATACACCCACACTCTCAGGCACCCATATAAAGTCACCCTGAGGCACTTGCACACACCTCTTGCACACTCCCTCACCCCAGGCACTCACAAACCCACCACCTTGCATGCCCAGCTCAGCCACTGGTGCTCACTCAATGCTCGTGCTCTCACCCCTGCACACTCACACTTGCACACTCACCCCTTACACATACACCCCCTTCTTTCTTCCACACTCACCTCCCAGGAAGGCTGGGAGTAGCAGGAACACCAGCAGGCACGGTGCAGTGCCCATCATCGCCATGGCAGTCTGGTGCTGGGTGCTGGTCCCATGGCCGTTTCAGAGATAACAGGCAGTGAATGATTAACAGCTCCTGACGACATCCCTGGTCCGGCCAGGACATAATGAAGGTCATACAGCAGGTGCCCAATTCTCACACGTTCCGTAACTCCAAGGGGGCTCCACCAGGGGAAGAGCTCCTGATCCCAGCTGGGGCAGGCGCGGCTCATACCCAACCAGTGGCTGTCCAAGAAGAGGCTGGACATCCACTGGTGGGAGATGATCTAGGTGTAGTTAGGCCTACACTTAGGGGAGTTGTGCACTTGCCATCACTGGAGGTGTTCAAGAAGATCCAGGACAGCTACCGGTCAGGGGTGAGGTCTAGGCCTACACCTGGGGGAGTTGAGGACTCTCCATCACTGGAGGGGTTCATGAAAAGGCTGGACAACCACTAGTTGGGGATAATCTAGGTGTAGCTAGGTCTACATCTAGGGGAGTTGTGGGCTCTCTGTTACTGTAGAGGTTGGACAGCCACTGGGTGGAGATGACCTAGGTGTCATGATGCTGATGTTCTACTATGGAGATGTCCCAGGCTTTAGGGCTTTGCCGGTTGCCACGTGGGGCCAGGAAGGAATTCCCCCCTGCCCCCCACACCTTCTGTAGCTACATACGTCAGGGATTTATTTCTCCTTCCTCACCAGCATTGGGTGTTGCCTGCAGCCCAGGCTGGGGTAGAAAGCTGCAGCCAAGTAGACTTAGACTGGAAGAACATTGCTGTTAGAGGAGGGATGAAGTTGGATGGCAACTGGGCTGTGCCAGTGCTCCTGCTGGGACTCAAAGCAGGAGGCTCCTGGTTAGAAGTTTGGCACTCTGCTTGGGCTCGGACCAACGCTGCATTGGAGATTAGGGAGGAATTTTACCTCATGGTCAGACTGGTATGGACTAGGGGTGTGGGGGAGGGGTCAGCAGAGGGCATGGCCTCTGCCTGGGATCTCTTGAAGGTATTTTCACAGCCTTCTACAGCACCAGGACATTGGCATGGTCCCCTTGCTTTCCCTGTGGCAGGTCTGGGTGTGATGTCTAGTGTTGTTTCAGGGCCAACGGTAGTTTTCCAAGGAGTTTAGATGATGGATTTGGATATAATGGCTTGGACAGGGCTGGAAGGGCCCTCCAGAGACCATAGAATTGCAGCCATTGAGAAGTCAGTCTGGAAGGGATCTCCAGAGGACATAGAGTCATAGAAATAGAGTCATGGAGAAGCAGGGCTGGGAGGGACCTCCAGAGATCACATCTTGTCTGACCCTCTGTCTGAGGCAGGATCATCCCAGTCCAAACTGTCTCAGGCAAATCTATAATATAACCTCTTAGTATTTGCCCTGTGCCACACTACCCCCTCCAAATGGGTGGATGGAAATATTATGGGGTGGGGTGGGGTGGCTGGCTGTCTGGATAGCTGTCAACAGGAGTGAGTGGATTGATGGATGGAGGAGGGATGGGGGATTGGATGGATGGATGGATGGATGATGGAGGTGGAGAGGGGGCAACCGGCAAAGCCAAGAAGCCTGGGAAAACCCCATAGTTCTTCAGTAACCCCATGCAGTCAGGGACTATTGTGTTCCATGATCGTCTTATCTGAGGGTCCAAAGATGGCTGATGAGGCCAATCTAGGATTGACAGACTCTGTGGCAACTCTGGCACTTGTTTCAGTGCAGGGTGGGTGGCTCCAGATTCTTCCTTCAGTCTGCAACGTGTTGCTTCTGCCTCTCCTACTTTTCCATCTCCTGTTGTCGCCATGAGGTTTCAAAGTACTGAGATCCCTGCAGCGGACTCTTGTTCTCATTTGGGCCAGTTGTGGATGATAGACTTCCACAACTTGATGTCAATGTTGCATTTTTTTCAAGCTGGCCTTGAGGACATCCTTGAAGGGATGTCTCTGCCCTTTTGAGCCTATGCCTTGACTGTATGGCAGTTCCAAAGAGGACGGAGCTGGACTGTTCTTAGTGGTGGCAGATGACAGAACAACAGTGTCCAGTTGCAGCAAGGGAAGTTGAAGTTAGATATTAGAAAAAACTTTCTCATTAGGATGGTAGTAAAACACTGGAACGGGCTACCCAGAGAGGTTGTGGAGTAGGGCTGTGTGAAATTTCGCTGACAGTTTTGTTTCACCCATTTTGAGCTCAAAACAGTGACATTGAAATGAAATGGAGAGCTCCAAAACAGCCTCGAAATGAAATGAGGCAAGTAAAAATGTTTTGAAAATTTTGAAACGTTTCAAGTTTCAAAGCTCAAGCTGGGCTTGCCTGCAGGAAACAGAAACTAAAGTAAGGGGAGGGAGGGAGAAGGGCCGCGGGGTGCGGGGTGGGGGCAGGAGTGCTCTCATTATTGACTGTGTATCTGGCCAGTGACTGTCATCCTTTCCTGAGGTCTCTTCCAATCCCAGTGCTCGGGGGGAGGGATGGAAAAACTGCATAAACGGCAACATTGTTTGACCTGCCCTGCTTTCTGCCTTGGTGTCAGTTGAGTGAGGGTGCACCTTAACACACACAGTGTCACCCACCCATGTCACGAGTTTTGCCTGCCAGCAGCCAGAGGTGCAGGGCCCCCGAACCCAGAAGTACCGATCTCCTTGACAGCTGGCAGACTTTGTGGGCACAGCAGGGGCTAGCACGCCTGCAACCTTCACCCTGCTGCGCCTTAACTCACAAAGTGTCACCCATGTCATGAGTTTTGCTTGTCCGCAGCTCGAGGTGCAGTTTCCCTGAAACCCCTGCACCTATCTCCCTGAAGCTTGGCAGGCTTTGTGGCCTCAACAGGGGCTACCATTCCTGCAAGTTTCATCCAAATCAGGCCAGAAATGACAAAGGTATAGGCTGTTTCAATCTTCCCCAGTATGGCCTGTGGGCAAAACGTCAAAACTGTTTCGACAAAACGAAATGGAATGGCAGTTTCGAATTGCAACAACATTTAAAATGAAATGCTGTTCCATCAAAACATCGAAAGGCAAGTCGAACTGGAATGCTGCCTTTTCTCACAGCCCTATTGTGGAGTCTCCACCTTGGAAGTGTTGAAGACCTGGCTAGACAAAGCCTTGGCTGGGATGATATAGTTGGGGCTGGTCCTGCTGAGGTTCATTCCAACCCATATTCTCTATGATTCAATGACAGAGGTGGGAGGATTAGACTTACTTGGGGAGCCTGGAGTCAGACATCCGGATGACATGGCCAGCCCAGCGAAGTTGCTGTAGGACAGCAGAAAGCTATGCCCATTGCCTCTGTGATCATGATTCCTCATTTCCAGTCTCCTGCTTCCTAGTGGAGAAAGAGCAGCACTGGTACTAGCAACACCACTGGTAGCAAGGAGAAGTGACAGTGCCCCCTGGTGGCAAGGAGCTTGGCGATCTCCAGATTGGTCCGCCTTACCCAAACTCCACCATTTTGCTTAGCATAGGTAGTAGACCCTTCAAAGTAGCACTGGTACCCACTACTAGATACTTTTCAATTGTCCACCAGAGTCTAGCTCCCCACATCAAGTTGTACCCTTCATGCATCTGGGAGGAAACTCAGAGAGCTGTTACTAGCTGGCTGGGGTGGGCTATTCACTCTGAAATTTTCCTCTAAGGCAGGGAAGTTAAATATATGGTTTGTGGGCCAGATATTGCCTATTGGGCTCCCAGTGGTGGCTAGGAATTCAGAAACCCAGATTATCCCTGCTCAAAGGTGGTGTGTTTGTTCCTCTCATCTCCTAGTTGACCGTTGCTTGTGAGAGGGGAAGTTAGCTCACTTGGGAATGCTTGGGGGAAATGTGGCTTCCTGGTGTCAGCTGAGAGAGAGAAATAGTTGAGCCCTTAACTCTGAACCTAGCCCTTGGTAGTGTGGTGACTGAAGTTTTCATAGATTCATAGATGTTAGGGTCGGAAGGGACCTCAATAGATCATCGAGTCCGACCCCCTGCATAGGCAGGAAAGAGCGCTGGGTCTAGATGACCCCAGCTAGATGCCTATCTAACCTCCTCTTGAAGACCCCCAGGGCAGGGGAGAGCACCACCTCCCTTGGGAGCCCGTTCCAGACCTTGGCCACTCGAACTGGGAAGAAGTTCTTCCTAATGTCCAGTCTAAATCTGCTCTCTGCTAGCTTGTGGCCATTATTTCTTGTAACCCCCGGGGGCGCCTTGTTGAATAAATACGCACCAATTCCCTTCTGTGCCCCCATGATGAACTTATAGGCAGCCACAAGGTCGCCTCTCAACC